GGGTGTTTTGGGTAGAACCTAGGTTTTTCAAAAAATGGGGATTTGGACCTCGATTTGAGGTTCGATTTCAAAACAAATTATATATTTGAGTTCATGGGTGAATGGGTAGTCGGGTTTTTGTTCGAACCTCGGGTTTTGACCATGTGGGCCCGGGGCTGATTTTTGAATTTTTGGGAAAAGCTTTCGAAAACTTATTTCCATGCATTAGAAATTGTTTATTTAGCATTCATTGATGTAATTAAGTAACTTGTGACTAGATACGAGCAAATTGGTGGTGGAATCACGAGGTAAAGCTATAGTTGAGGCTTGAACTGTGTTCGTGGCATCGAGGTAAGTGTTTGGTCTAACCTTAGCTTGAGGGATTAGGAGTTGTGTCCTATTTGCTACGTGTTACTTGTTGAGTACGACGTACAGGTATGGTGACGAGTATCTATACGTTGGTGTCGAGCGTGACCGTGAGTCTTAAATTGAAATCATTGTGTTATTGAGAATTACTACGAATGCCTAAGTTGTTGACTCTCTGTGATGAGCAAGGTTTATAATTATTCTCGTAGAGATTACTTATGGTTGAACATTGGTGTTAGTTGAGGTAGTAGATGTTGGCACAAGTTTGGTTATAGCTGGTTTTCCCTTGCCGGGATAGTGTAGTTCCTTATTGATCCCTTGCCGGGACTCTTGTTAGGTTGTTGTTGATTGTATATGTGGATTGGGTTGCACGCCGCAACAATGATATATTTGGATCGGGTTGCACGCCGCAATAATGATATATTTGGATTGGGTTGCACGCTGCAATAATGATATATTTGGATCGGGTTGCACGCCACAACAATGATATGATTGGGTCGGGTTGCACGCCGCAATAATAATATAATTGGATCGGGTTGCACGCCGCAACAATGATATGAAATGGGAGCGGGTGGCACGCCTGCCACGAGATAATTGAAATGGGAGCGGGTGGCATGCCTGCCACGAGATATATGAAATGGGAGCGGGTGGCACGCCTGCCACGAGATACATGAAATGGGAGCGGGTTGCACGCCTGCAACGAGATGTGAAATGAAAGTGAATTCTGCCTTTGTTTTCCTTATCCTTGTTAGTAGTTGGATTTTGGTTCCTTTATAATTCTCTTGATATTCTGTTTTACTTGTTATTCCCCGAAGCATGATTCCCCCCTCCCATCTTTACTTGTTTATTTCTGCTTTACTTTCCGCTGTATATTATATAACTGCACAAGTTTATTTGGTAGTCTGGTCCTAGCCTCGTCACTACTTCGCCGGGGTTAGGCTAGGCACTTACCAGCACATGGAGTCGGTTGTGCTGATACTACACTCTGCACTCTTTTGTGCAGATCCCAGTGTTGTGGATTTCGTACTGCAGTGAGGTTGCTGCTTCTGGTCCATCAGGCGACCCGAGGTAGTCCTGCAGGCATCCGCAGGCCTTGGCGTCTCTAACTAGTTATTATTCATGTTTCTTTCTTGTATTTTCAGAGACAGTGTTGTATTATTTCTTTCAGACCTTTATTTGTAGTAATCTTAGACAGTCTGTGAAGTTGTGACACCAATCTTGGGTAGTTTTGTCATGGAATGGTATTAGCTGTACTATTAAACTTGAAATTTAAGTCTTCCGCTTGTTAAATTTTGTTGACTATTAACTGTTGGATTATAACTGTTAACGAATTTATAAATGGGTAAAGGTAATCTATTCAGTAATTGACTTGCCTAGCTCACATTAGTAGGCGCCATCACGACTCCCGAGGGTGGGAAATCCGGGTCGTGATATATACGTCAATACCACACAAAAGGGGGGGGGGTGATTTGTGTGGTACCCAATTTTCCCTTAACTTGATTATAGAAGGACCTGGTTCTTCTATGTGTTCCAACCACTACTGTTGCAGAATAATAAGTACAGAAATTAAAGAACACAAAGATTTTACGTGGAAAACACCTGGCTCAAAAGGTGAAAAAACCACGACCTACTTTCCAGTAGGATTTTCCCAAACTCTCCACTAAAATTACTGAGCCAAAAACTGCATTTATAAAAACTCTTTTGTAAACTTAGGACTAACTCTAATCCCGTTGTAGCACACAGCCTCAACTGTTGCGACAACTTCAAGTTAACTCTAACTTGAAAACTCTGAGTACCTAATACAATTGCTTCTAGATAAGCTGAAAGGTACAGTATGAAAACCACCTACTACAATTGAACTAGAATAAAAGACAGACACTTGGAACTGATTCTTCTATCTAGTTCAAGTAGCTTCAGGTTTGCACGCTTGAATCACACACACAAATTGCTTGCAAAATTGCCTTGCTATTTTGCTCTCAATTTACGTTTTACTTCTGCTTATGTGCGTTACCTGTAAAAGAGAACAACACTGATATTTAAGGAGTTAGTAATTAGAGATTCACTAGAATTCTGATGCTACTCTTCCGTGGTGGAAGAGTTCTAGTTGAACTCATCCTCTAACTCTATCCGTCTCTTAAGCAGTGTTCTCTTTGGGTAAGGAGTTTTTCTCCTTATCCAATATGCAACCTTTTCGATCATGATCAGGAGATATCACTTCTGATAAGTTAGGTTTATCTCCTTCACTGTCATCTCACATGCTTGAGTTGATCATATCTGTGCCTCACTAGGATGGACCTGGTCCATGTCTGAGTTCCTTTGTCAGTCTTCAAAACTCACCTTTACTTGGGCCAACACGACCCCTTTTTAAATGGTTCATTATCCAACTCATTTTTTGATGGATAATATGGGTGGATAACCAATGGATAACTAATGTGTTTAACTTTTACATTTGTAAAACGCGAGTTATCCATTGGTTATCAATTTGGTTAACCATTTTCTAAGTGGATAATATGGTCTTTATCCATATTCGACCCGTTTTTAAATGGTTCATTATCCAACCCATTTTTGAGTGGATAACTATTTTCTTTTAGAGAATTTTTCATAAAGCACTATCTTTTAGGTGTAATTAGCCATTTATAGATACCTTTTGCTATATTACGTGTTATAGATACCTTTTATGTGGTTATAAGATGTATTTGATGTATTTAAGCTATTGTATTCATTAATACAATAGCAAAAATAGGCGTGAAAAAGGGAATTCCAGCTAAGGTTGATATGTATTCGACTGTATACACGCGGCCTTATCGTGAATACAGTAACGTATTTGCGTAAAACCTGGAAGGTTGAACTTGTTAAAAACGGAAAGGAAATCAAATCACCTGATATTCTCCTAATTTAACTCAACGAACAAAAACTATTACCCATTAATCTGTATTCTTCCATTCACGATTCAACAAGAAAAATAGCGAAAACAAGAGAAACATCTGGAATTTCACTTCTCCCTTTTCTCTGTTCCCAGTTCTCAATTCAACCACGGAAAAGTGCGATTGATACAATTGTATACAAAATACGGTATAATTCCATTATACATATGGCAAGTTTAACAGNCGGATTGGCTTGAGGGAATAGGATTAGAGTATTATTTGCTAATTGCTAAAGGTTGAGTACGGTGTATAGGTATGGTGACGAATATCTATACACCAGTGTCTAGCATGACCGTGGGTCTTTATTTGTGCTTAATTGGGATTCTGTAGTGATTCTTCCTTGTTAATTGATGGTTTCTATATGATATGAAGAGAATGAGAAGGAAATATGATGTGTAAACTCTTGGGAGCGTTGGCTCGGTTTTTGACTTGATTAAAAAGTAAGAAATGAACGTAAGAGAAAGAGATGTGATTATTCCCTTGCCGGGACGTGTAAGTTATCGTTGTTGCTCCCTTGCCGGGATTTAACTGCTTAGTCCTATTCTCCCTTGCCGGGAAACCACTTATATATTATGAAATGGGATCGTGTGGCACGCCGACCACTTATATATTATGAAATGGGATCGTGTGGCACGCCGATCACTTATATATTATGAAATGGGATCGTGTGGCACGCTGACCACTTATATTTGCTGAAATGGGATCGTGTGGCACGTCGACCACCGAGCTATACTATGAAATGGGATCGTGTGGCACGCCGACCACTTATATAGATTATGAGATCTGATGTAGTTTCGTGTTTACTTCTGATAAGTTGTTTTCATCTGTATTTCCCCTAAGCATGTCCCCTCCCCGCCTTAATTGGTATTTTCTGCTGTTATTTCGTTGCACTTGTATATACATATATATCTGCACAGGTTGTTTTTGGGTAGGTCCTGTCTAGCCTCGTCACTACTTTGCCGGGGTTAGGCCAGGCACTTACCAGCACATGGGGTCGGTTGTGCTGATGCTACACTCTGTGCATCTTTTTGCACAGATCCAGGAGTAGCTTTTGGGCCTCAGCAGTAGGATTTGATTGGGAGCTGACTTCAGTCCAGGGACTTTCGAGGTAGCCTAGCTGACGTCCGCAGGCCGGAGTCCCTTCTATGTTATTAGTTTGTTTTCCTTGTACCGAAACAAACATTGATGTACTTCTATTCAGACTTGTTTTTAGCACTCTTTAGTAGTTCGTGAGTTAGTGACACCGGTTCTGGGTAGAGTTGTATTTAAACTTCCGCATTTGGTTTTCAGTTATCTATGTTTTTTAAGACTTCCGCTTTTATTTAAATGACTCGTTTTATTTATATCGTTGAGATGTTATCAGAAAATATTTTAATACTTGGCTGGCCTAGCTCCGACAGTAGGCGCCATCACGACTCCCGATGGTGGAAAATCCGGGTCGTGACAATAACCATACATGTCCGCTGAAGGACAAGGTGTATGAGCAGCGACATGCAAGTAGCAGTCTTATAGGTGGTATGATTAGGCCTAAGCTTACTAATCATAGAGGAAATACACCAATATTATTGATAATGGAAAATCAGATTTAGGTGTAGATGTTAGCTACATGTTGGCGTGGCGGGCTAAAGAAAAGGCAATGAATTTTTTGAGAGGTGAACCATACTTATCTACAATCGATATGACATATCCAGGTTCCACATCAGAATGGTAAAATAGCCCAAAAATGAATTCATGTACGTGTATATATCTTTGTATGCCTTTATAAAGGGGTTTGATCATTGTAGACCCATTGTGGTTGTGGATGGAAGTCACCTAAAATCTTACTACACCGGGACATTCGTTTCGGCAAGCACGTTGGATGGTGCAGGTGAGTACGTGAATTATAATAAAATCTGTTAATATTTTAAAGATTGAAATACATGTTTTAAAAATATGTATTCAATTGTCTTTACAGGTCATATATTGCCACTAGCATATGGTGTTATTGATTCAGAGAACGATGCTGCTTGGACGTGGTTCTTTGAGCAATTCAAGATAGCATACGGTGACAGGGAAAACATGTGCATCGTTTCAGATAGAAATGAGAGTATCATTAAATCTTTATCGAGAGTGTATCCAGATGTACCGCATTTTGCCTGTATATGGCATCTATGGAACAACGTATATAAGAAATTCAAAAAGAGCCATGCAAAGTTGAGCGAGATATACTTCTCGATGGCAAAAGCATACACACAAGCTGAATTTGACAGTCTGATGGAGAAGGTGGAGAAGGTAGATATTAGGGTGAAAGAATACTTGGAGTTAGCTGGATACGAAAAGTGGGCTAGGTTGTATGCACCTGTTAACAGGGAATGGACCATGACGTCAAATATTGCTGAGTCAATCAATGCCGCACTAGTGTCAGCAAGGGAATTGCCAATATACGACTTCCTCGAAGAAGTTAGGAAGATGTTTGGATGTTGGAATTGTAGTAACCGCAAAGAAGCTACACAGACATACACAACGCTTGGAAAAAAATACCAGGAGATGCTGACTTTGAATGAGGCAATGTCTACACGCATGACTGTAAGTTTTATTTTAATGTCATTGTATTATATAGCTTAATTGTTTTCTGAAATAACTTATACAGAATTTTTTAGATAGACGTATTCAGTTGTATTGTCATGCAGTAGCCTTATAATGTTTTTGTTTTTTTTCAGTTGCCTAAAGTTAAGCAGATTTTTGATGTATGTCATTGTATTCATAAGCTAAGACCTAATTATAGTTTATAGTCTGCCGGTCTACATATATGATGTATTCTTCTGTATTCAAACATTTCAGTTGTATGTAACTGAATAATTCAGCATTATACATAAAGAAATTCAGTTATATGTGCTCAAAACTTATAGGTCTATGTTTAAATGTAGGTGGTACCATCAACTGAATACTTACATACGGTTAACGATGGAGGGAGGCAATACACCGTCTGCCTGTTAGAGAGAAAATGCGTTTGTGGGAGGTTCCAAGTTGATGAATTACCATGCCCACATGCTTGGGCTGTATTGAAGAGCAAGTTTCTAATGCCAGAAGAATATTGCTCTAACTATTACAAACCAAATTCTGTTGTAATGACATCCGATGTGCCTGTGTACCCGCTACAGGACAGAAATGACTGGAATATACCAGCACATGTTGTAGAGGAGGTTGTATTACCACCTAAATGGAAAAGACCTCCTGGAAGGCCAAAGAAGAAGCGCGATAAACCTTTAAGTGAATTGCTGCAGCCGAAAAATCAACATTCATGTAGCATATGTGGGCAGGGAGGACATAACAAGCGAACGTGTAGAAATGCTCCACGTATGATTTAGTTAACACTTTGACATGTATTAGTGCTCCAACGATTTGTCATTACTTATGATGACATTGTCAAGTAATAAATTCTGAAATGCCTTTCGTGAATAGATTCTGGATTTATTTAGTTGCAGTATTGTGTTGGATACATTCGAACACAACCTTGTCCACATATAATTTGATAATTTATTATAGACAGTGCCTGAGTTATATACATAACTAGTCAAAATACATCGGAATACAACTATATACTCAGCTATAACATAACAAATTCAATAAATACATATAACCTGATTAGATTCTGGATACATTTAGTTGCAGTATTGTGTTGTATACAATCGAATACAACCTTGAGTTGAATATACATAACTAGTCAGAATACATCGGAATACATCTATATACTCAGCTATAATATAACAATTTCAATAAATACGTATAACCTGAGTAAGTAAAATAAATACATCAAGTTGGGTACATATGTATAAACCAGAAGCATACATTTTTTGACTTTGATATACAAGCCAAGTGACTGAATATTAATACATACTTATATGCCCTGTTGAATACGTATGAATATATCCTGTAAGATACATATGAATATAAACGGAAGATTAAGCATGAATACTTATGAACAAAATAATGAAACATAGATTGAAAAGTTGCAATTGTCATACATGAACACTGTTGATAAAGTGATTAAAACATGGTTTTTTCTAACTGAATACCTTCTTCACCAAAAAATTATTCAAAAAACAGTATTCACCTAAAAAAAACTTTCCAAAACTACATTCACCCAAAGCTACTCTAACACTATCTGCAACTTTGAATATGACTCAGTGATTTGCCTAGCAATCTGTGAGGGTGCTTCATTTTTGCATATGGCATCAGCGTCTATCTTCGCATAGTATAGTTCCGAAGGAGAGCACCATATCTTTGACGGAGTAGATTGGAATCAAATGTTGTTTGTGGAATCTCACCAAGAGTGCTCAGAAACTCTGCGTATGCCGCAACATGCACCCCACAATCCCTGAAAAAATGTTGATTGAAAAAATTAAAAATAATTCATACAACTAGATTTTTAAAATGATACAAGAACGATGATTGAATACATACATGCTCCCAGCTTTCTGTTGAGGCAGATTTGATATGAAAACAACTTCAAAGGGATCAGTATGTGACTTGTCAGTGTATGCTGAGTAAGTAGACCAATCTATGCCTTGACTATCTCTGTAAAAGCCACTGATTGATAGATATAGAGGTACAAGCTTAGCTAGCTTATCTATCTCAGAAGCTACATAGGCATCATGACCTGCAGATCTGTACGAGTCATACACTTTGATACATCTCTCCTTGAATGAGACAGCAGCCCATATCCAGTGTAGTTTGTCCTTCAAGTTGACTGGTATCAAGACATTGTCAACAGTATGCCAAGGTACATTAGCTAGCAATCTGTAGCCCCTTATGTACTCACATGCCACATCCTCTTCTTTGGCTACATTAGCATTACTATCTGTATCAGCATACCTGTCGAAGATTTCAGCGATTCTTGTCTTGAATATACAATCAACAGTTGTATACTTGAAGTTGCTTGTTTGGTTGTACTTTCCCTTCTTTCTCAGATAGTAGAATATGACGTCAATATGCTATGCACAAATTTAATTACATAGTGTTAGTCCAATTAATCAAACTAAGAAAAAAAATGAATATGACAAGTGAAAACTCAGTTAAATACATCACACAGATTCAAGAATAATACATCTGAATACACTGTATTACAGCAGATATTCAAGAATAAAGAGGCAATTAAATACATCATAGATATTCAGTTAAATACATCTGATATTTACAACTACCCAGTAATGTTAAAATACATCTGAATATATTTAAATACATGTTATTATTCAAAACTAATGAGTCAATTAAATTCATAGTACTGTAATACATCTGTTAGTTACAACTACTGATAACTTTGAAAATACATCTGAATACATTAAAATACAACAGTTATTTAGGAATAATGATGCCATTAAATACATCATACAAATTCAATTAAAAACATATTTCATTTTCAACTAATAAAAATTGTTAAAATACATCTGAATACAATTAAATATAGCAGATTTATTAGTAACATCTGCATACAATTGAGTACATCAAAGTAATGTAAGACAAATTTGGGTTAGAGCTCAATTTATGAATTATACAATTAGACAAACCAATACTAAAGAAATAATTTATAGTGGAGTTGGAAGGGGTAAAACTTACATTGTCATCCCATAGTTTACCGTCAAACGATAGAAGGTAAAACCAATTTTTTGAATTGACTTGATCAACTCCAAAATCCAATGGTATATGAAGTGTTGACTTGTTCTTCTTGTAATGGTCTTCCAAATTACTTCTACAAGTATGATATTAAAAAAACGTTATATCCATTTTTTAAAATATAAATACGTAATAGACATACCGGGAAAAAATTCACTTCTGCTCATGTCTAGCAAGAAGACCATCACGAACCCATTTGTCGTATTCCTGAATGATTAATGTAGGTTACAACCCCGTTATTGAATCATCCTCAAATGGGTCTTTTTTCAAAAATGGGGGTCAACTTTACTGAGGTACCTGTTGTTCATTGAATTCATGTATAGAGAGTTTTAATTATAAAAACCATGGGAAAATAGATAATTAGTTTATAAAACACTAACCTGCGGAGTCGAAGTTAGACTCGTAAGGTGAAGAATACCATTTACTTGGTCGCCGATTCCTATGAGATGGTACCGGGGTTGATGCAACTTTTTTGCACTGTTGTGTATCACAATTCTAGTTTCTGGAGTTCCTTCTAACTGGAGAGCCATGAAGCATCTGAAGAGTTGATGTTGGACTTCACAACGCTTCATTTGAAGGAAATTTCCAAAACAAGTATTACCCAGTTGGTTGTACTGCTCTGGAGTAAGATTTTCTTTTAGCTCAGAGACTATGTCAGTGTTAGTATATACACTGATATACGGTGCAAAAATAGGCTGTTTTTTCACAAACAGCTTAATTCCCTGCATTTAACAAATGTAAAATACATATAAATACAACTGAATACAACATATATTTCATAATACAACTGACATGAATACATATGAATACAACTAAATTCAACTGAATACAACACATAGTCATAATACAACTGACATGAATACAACTGAATATAACACATATTTCATAATACAACTGACATGAATACATATGAATACAACTAAATTCAACTGCATACAACACATATTTCATAGTAAAACTAACATGAATACATATGAATACAACTAAATACAGTCTGCAAAAATCAACTGGAGTAAGATATCAGTGATAGAAATATGTACTAATATAATACATACGCATACAACAAATAAAGACATTGCAATTAGAATAAAATACTGATGGGAACTTTGAAAATCCTTATAAATACAACTATAAGAATACATCAGAATACAACTGACATACCTGTATCATTAATTTCTATAAGTACAAAAATATATCGAATATCCTTGTTGAACAGAGAACTCAACCGTTGTATACATATAAATACAGATGTATACATCAATAATACAGATGAATACATCATAAATTACCTTTTCTTCAAGTGTATCCGAGCTTTTACTTGCTTCAACCTCCTTCCCCTTGACAGATGAAGCAGGAGAAATATGGTTTTTTCCTCTTTTCCGCAATGGGAAGTCTTGTTTCCTTCAATGATTTCTCGACTTGGGTTTCTTTGAAATTGTCATGTCGAGATTTTGTTCTCTTCTCCAATGCCATATTTTTGTTTATACCTGCATCCAATTCCCCTTGAGTGATTTGCAAGGAGAAAGAGCGCTCATCGAAATTGAGAATTTTAGTGGGTATACCTCTAGTAATCAACTTGCTGGGTGTATTCTCAGACATTGTGAGAATACGCTTGGATACTGTTGATTAGAGAAAATTTGGTGAGTAGAGATGTTGATAATAAGCAAAAATAGCGAAAATAAAAAAAAAATACTTACCACACTAATTATAGTAACAAATGAGTAAAATCTAGAGGAGAATAGGGTTTACGCCGAGATTGGGGGAAGGAGGAAGCAGCGGTGTGGGTGAGGAGGTTTCTCTGATTTTGAGCGTGGTTTGGAGCGTAGTTTTGAACGTGTATTGAGAAGTTGTATGAAAAACTGTGACGACCCAAAGGGTCATCACCGGACTTCTTCCTATTTCCGTGCTTCCGAGGCCTTGAAAACCTCGCTTTTAGTTGCCTCGATTTGCGTGCGCAGTCCGGGCGCGAAGCCGGAAAGCTTTTATGTTGAAATATGTGAACTTTGTGAAAAATTTGAAGAATTTTGATATTAATATTGCTAAAGTTGACTTTGGTCAACATTTTTGGTAAACGGACCCGGACCCGTGATTTGGCGATCCCGGAGGGTCCGTAGAAAAATATGAGACTCGGGCATATGCCCGGAGTCGAATTTCGAGGTCGAGAGCCCGAGAAATGAATTTTTCTGTGAAATTATTTTTCTGAAATTCTTAAGGAAAATAGAAATGAAAATTGATTAAAAGACTACGGTATCGGGCTCGTATTTTGGTTCCGACGCCCGGTACAAGTCTTAAATAGGTGTTAAGCGCTTTCTGTAAAGTTTGGTCGAAATCGGATGTCATTTACGTGTTTCGGACCTAAATATCTAAAGTTAGAAGTTTAAGAAGTTTGAAATGAAAATGATGATTATGAGGCTTGATTCATGGATTTTGATGTTATTTTGGCGATTTGATCGCTCGAGTAAGTTCGTAGGATGTTATTGAGTTAGTGTGTGTGATTGGTTAGGAGCCCCGAGGGCTCGGGAGTGAATTGGAGGTGGTTCGGGGTGATTTTACACTTAGAAATATAGCAGGTTTTCCTTCAGCTGTTGCAGGCCAGGTTTGTTCTTCGCGTTCGCGGTCACCCTTACGCGATCGCGATGCTGGCCGGGTTCCCTTCTTCGCGTTCGTGAACCTATTCCCGCGTTCGCGTAGCTTT